TCCTTTTTGAGTCTCAGAAAATCCACACTGACATCACAGGTTGTGCATGTCAAGGACACACTTCCATGGACTTTTGTGCAGGCCTACAATCTCCCTAGAACAATTTTGCTAGATTTATTTCTAATCTCGTCTTTCTGCAAGTCTGCTTCACCTACACAGATTTTTCAATTTTTTATGATGTTGATGTGACAGAATGAGATATGGTCACAGGAAAACAAGATTTTACGATTTGATTGGGAAATATCCTTCAGAGGTTCTTTCAGCTTCAAAGGTGTTTTTTTTTCCTCTCAAACCGTAGTCCCATGGATAATAGCCATCCTCGGTTTTGTACATTTTGTAGGTTTTTTTATTAATCTGAAGCATGTCACTCCTATCTACATATTTTGGGGTGATCTTTAGTATCTCACTTAAGAAATTTAGAAGGAAATTCTCTTTAGATCTGAAGCACAAATTTAATGCAAAATGAAATCTCCAAGGAGAGAATTAGTCCAAAAACCTCTCTGATTCACAATGAATTTTTGCCACTAAGAAAAAATTGAATGACTGAATTTGCATGCTGGCGCATCTTCAGGAGTTTGCTGATTTATCTGGGCTTACATTTCACTATACCTAATCAGTGGAAACTCTGAACACAGAGGTTTTGTTTAAGAGTCCTTTCCATTGTATAAAGGACTTTCACAGTCCTTTTTCACTTTATGTAGCAAAGTGCTAAATAACACCCACACACCCTCCTGCTGCTTCCTACAAACTTGGATTGAACAACCATGAACTCATGTCTTTTCCAAAACCTTTTGATTACTTCTTAAGAGAGTGTAGAAAAATCTTTGTTTAGAAGATCAATAATGTTCTCTATGATGTTTCTGAATGGATTTTCAGTTATTTCAGCCAAGGTTAAGCCTCTCTTGGGCTTTGGTATTGACATGCAAGATACACACCTGGTATCTGTGAAATCTGTGGACTTTTGAAAGGAAGAGCAAGCTAGGTAAGGGCTTTCCTTTCTCTGTTCAATTAGTATGCACTTTTTCTATTAGTATTTACATTTTATTTGCCTTTTTCATTAAACAAGCTCAATTTAAAAGATTCCATAAACAAAATTAACTTGCTCAACCATAAAAAGTAAAGCTTAGCCAATCTGAATGAAATAAAGGAACAATTAGTAGATAGCCCTAAACAGATTATCTACACAGTATTTAAATTTAATCTTCATTACTGTTAATAGCACTACTAACAGCATCTCTGCATCAGAAGAAAAAAAACATCTCTCTTCGATTAAAATCCAGGTAGCCATACTGCACCAAAATCACAAAACATCTGCCGAGACACTTCTAAACCAGTTCAGTCTTTAAGCACCTTCTTGGATTTTCCTCTTCATCTTCACTTGCACAGAAGAGGGTTAAGTCTGTTTTTTGCAGAGATCTTTGGCATGATCTTTGATGACAAATGACATGCTACCTTATGCCAAAAAAAAAAAGGGGAATACAGTCACCCCCGGCTTCAACTTTAACTGGAGCTGCTTTGTTCTGAGTACCCTGAATAATTAATAACTACTTTGGCAATCAGTCATGCATTCCTTAATGGCACCTCAGGCATCAAGTATCCCATTCACCCGCTCCCCAAGTAACAATGGACTTTATTACATCAAGTTTTCTCTGCCAAACTTGTAACTGACATAATTTAAACTAAACAAGTCACTGGGAAGACTGAAGCCCAAACATATATTATAAGAGTTTATAAGGTTTCCCCTCAATTGCATGTGGCTACTATATGGATTAGAGCTGTAACTTGGCGCAAGTGAGAAAAAGAGGAAAAGAAATGAAATATGGATTGTTTTTGCAATAAAGTTTAGGAAAGTTTAGGTAGTATACTGCTGCCAAAAACATGACTTTTAATAAATGCATAGCTGCGCAGGCAAAACGCAGAACAACTGCTAAGCAGCCCTCAGTGAATAAAGCAGCTCACCAGTAAGCACAGACTAAGTGACAGGGCAGAGCATGAAAAGAGCGACTAAGAATAACAGCTGTGCTGAAAGCAGCGTAATAATTTTCAAATAGCACAAACTACATTTTCTTGGTAAGAATAAGCTTTTTCAACCCTTCCTTCCACCTTATGGTATTCCAGACAAAATTAACTTGAAACTCTACAACAAAGGAAAGTGGAGTTAGACCAGAAATACAGAAAGTTCTAGATGTATCCAGGGTACAGAATTTAAAATGGAAGAAAATCAAATAGTTAAACTGTACTTAGCTAGAATCCGATGAAAAGCTTTGTGTTTTTCTCAGGGAGCATTCTGCTTGTATACAGTATGTGTGCTGCTTTTATGCGGTGCCTTACGATCCCACGGTGAACCTCTCTAAAAAATGATGTTGCATCTATTGATACTGGAACTGCTGCGAGTCCTTCTGAGTAACTGAATCTTAGAAGTAATCAGATCAATAGCCATTCTTCCCCTACTTATTCATCATGTGAAAAGTTTGAAATATAATATACAAAGTAAAAATACATATATACAATAAATTACAGCAGATTTAAACAAAGCCATTTCTCTTGCTCTTTAAAAGACCTGAAAAATGTCCGGTGCCCCTCTCTGTGTGTGGCCTCCAAATACAGAAACAAGCTTGCACTGTTTTATTTCAGTTTTGCTTCATTTCTCCCCAAACAATCTCTCATTGCTAGTCTACCAGGCATCTCCCCCTCCCCCTCTTGTCAAAAAATGAAGGGAAAAAAAAAATTAACTGTTTAGCACCAATTCATGGAAGTGAATCAGGTACATTTTTGCAAGAATTATTTAAAATTTACACTCATTCCTATAGCTGACATCTTTTTTTTAAGGGAGGTGGGAGGGGAGGGAGGGGCTGTAAATTTTAGTTTCCCTTGAAATGTTGGATGATATAGCATCATGGTTCTAAAGAAAAGCACATTTTTTTTGGCATCAGTTTTCAATTGCTTTAGGTACATGAAGCAGGTCTAATCCTGAAACTCAGCCATATAGATTTCATTTACAGTCTGCAGTCTGAAATGTGACATTGTACTTTGCATGGCTTATTAAGATGGAATTTTTGATGAAAAAGATCACAACCCTTTTAAAGAGAGATTTGGAAATTCATCCTCACAAACCGATAAGCAGTTGTAGTGCACGTTTTGAGGCCAGTTCTGAATTCCTGTGACAGGGGCTGCTCTTGCCTGCTACATTTCTGAGAAATAACATACTTGTTTTCTAAAACAGTTTGTGCGTATACTTCTTATACTACATGAGCTTTGTTAATGGAGAAAAATGGGGAACTAAAAATGCATCCTATGATGTCAGCTCTGTTTTTGTCTATTGAATAAGTGACGTGAAATATTTTGAAGATAAAAGAATTCTTTTGCAAGTGTTGATAACTTAAATATTAGAACCAGTTTTCACCATCAAATGCCAAGGAATAAACTCAGCCAGTTTGTACAGCATGGCATAATGATAAATGTACATACACTCTGGTATTTTCAGGTGCCTTTGCTTTATCCATTCCACAGAAACCGGATCGTACATAAGTCAGATAGATATGTCGCAGGTAGGATGTAATACTAGTGCTGCAACAACGAAATTTGGCACCAGCCCACAAATACATCTATTTAGGGAATTTCTTTTACCATTTTCTAAAAGAAAACATACTTATTACATTCTGCCCTCAGGTGTACAAAAGTTTAAATCTGCCCGTATTTCAGGTTGGTTTGGAGACTGATTGACATTTTATTTAATATCAAAATTCATCATTATCAGGTCGCGCTATTCTACTAACAAAAGCATCAAATATGCAGATCAATCTTTTAATCACTTTAGGAATAGTTTAGTTAGGCCTAAATATTTAAAAACACTTACAGGAAAACAACAGAAAATAACATATATATATATGTACACAGACCCACACTACTACACTTCACTTACACCATCATCAGTATGCTAAATATATTATGTAGAAGATTCTGTATTGTTGAAAAGATACACAGAATTTTTCTTTGCTTCTTCTCGCTAACTGAAGTTTTGCAAATGGGGAGAAGAAGCAATAAGCAAGCCAAATGCATTTTGAGCGAAGCGCATGTCAGCACGGTTACAACATGGATTCTTTTGATCAATTTTTTATTGAGCTTTCAGATATTTTCCACTAACCAAATACCACAGACCACAAGACTACTTAGGAGATTCACAAAGTGAATTATGAGGAATTTAACAAAAATACTGCTTACTCTCTCTTTAAATACGGAATACCTATTCTAAAACAATTCAACCCTGTTCCGCTCCACTCTCATGTTTTAGAACATTATCTCATCCTTAAAAATCTAAAAACATTGTTTTGCTAGCACAGATATTTCCTTTGGTGAAAAAAGGTAACAGAAATCTGTTGACAGTGAAAATAGTCACATTTTAGACAATGACTGTTGTTTAATACCTGTGATTTACAAGCCTTAAGCGACATTCAAGAGAAGTCTAAAGTACAGTTTCCAGAGGAAATGCAGTGGAAAATGAGTATTCTGCATTGTCTGCTTTGTCACTGTAATAAAACAATCCAGCAACATAAGAACCTTTCTGGTTTTGAACTAGGTATCATCATTTGGCTGTGTGTGTCTAATAGCAGCTGACTAATAATTTCTTCAATCTTCTTTGAAACTTCCCAACGCTCTTTCAGTGTCACACAGCTGATTCGTATGCTGATTTTTCTTCTTCTCAAAGCTGCAAATTTTTTCTTCCACAGTAGTGTATTAGGAATGCAAACATTTTATTGAAGTTTCCACACAAACAACTGAGCCCACAACTTCCCAGTCCAAAACCATCCAAGAACCACAAGAACACTCCGTTACTTAAAAACCAGAAACAAAATGTACAAATCTTAAAGACAGATTGCTCATTATTGTTATTATTAAGAAATAAACAGTAATTAATCCTAAACTATTAAAAGATTCTTTTGAGCTACCACTTCAAAGATTTTGTTTTCCCGAACTGTTCCAATCTGAAACACGTTACTTACTGGCATAAGAAGCGTGTAATGGATGCAGAATCCAGGTTCAGAAGGAAAATATTCATCAGACACAAATCGTATTCTGATCTGGTTTCCTTTGGAGATTTGTCTGCTTGGCACACTACTGGAACCACACCAGCGCCCTAAAACAGTGCCATCGCTAGGCTCTTCAACTTCTACAAAGTCATACCTAAACAGAAAAGAAAATCAAATGTTCATTTACTGATAAAACTCCTATAAAAACTGCCTGCTTTAATCAAGAAACTGACTCTGCAGTTTGCAATTTCTTTTTTTTTTTCTTTAATGCTAAAAGCATGCTGCCAAAGCCAGCTGTTTTAAACTTCACTTCCAAGTTGCTACTGGCTTAAATACATAATAAAATCACGCAGTGAGGTTAAAAAAGTAAAAGCAGAATTAGCATTTTGAAGAGACCCTTGAGTATGGTTTTGTTTGTTCCTTTTACGGAAAGCAATTACAACGTGTGGGAGAGGGCAGAACAAAGTCAGAGAAAAGAAGATTGAAACTGCCTAAGCGTGGCACAGTAGTTCGTCCCGCAGCATCACTAGCGGTACACTGCGCGTCCCCAGCGAAAGGGCAGGGGCTTCTTGGCATGGAAAACTTGCCCTCTTGTAATACCAGTGGTGAATAAGCTCCTAAAGGTTAAGGTGACAGGGCAACTTGGAAGCACATTTTGAGTTTACGCGTATCCCAGTGAGACATTTGTTGAGCAAGGACAGGGACACACTGCGTGTCAGAAAGAACCTGATATTTTGGTAATACTGACAAGAGAGATACGGGTTGGGAGCTCTGACAGAACAAAACATTAAGTTTGGTTTAGTTTCATTGGGTTTTAAGATGTGGTCTGGGTATCCCTGGGGATCTGTGAACTTCAAATATGTCTGTGAAAGGTAACTAAGAAATACCAGTCAACTGTCATCAACGAGCCATACAACTGTCATCCATGTGCCACTCAAAGGTCCTTGCTTCCACTGGAAACGCTTAGGGGCTTCTTAAGTCATAAAAACATTGGAAGCAACTGCTCCAGAAGGTACGTCTGGTTTCAGCACTTTAACTTGTTCCATGTCAGCTCCCTGGCTGCCCGCTGACAGGATGGACACCGAGCGTCTCAGCTGAGTTTCCCCAGCTGCCACCGCCTGAAGCCCCCCGAGCACTGGCAGCAGCATGGCCCGGTGGCTCGGCAGGTGAGAGCACCCCGGTTAAAGCACCGCAAGCGTTCGGAAATCATAGCTGTAGCTTGCCCGGTCACTTCTAAATCACAGCTTGGGTTCTAAGCACAAGCATAACACACCTCGCAGAAAGTTTCAGGGTTTCTGATATTTTTCTGTTCTCTTACATGTGTAATCATATATTAAACATGTCTCATGTAAATCTAAATTTGTAAATAGCATTCAACCCCTTTCAAGATTACAAAACAGTCCTACCTCTGATTATAGAAAATACTTACATTTTAAAAAACACACTCACACACTACCAAATATGCCAAGCAATATTTAATGTGAAAATTATTACCTCATAAACATTTTCTACTAAAGCTTTTTCTGGATATTTTTTCAGTAAAGCTAATCTTTATAATGATTCCCAGTTCCCTAGTTAGACAGCAGGCAATAAATTCTTGTGTTGCATGTTTGTGCAAGACTGACTTGCACATTTATTATCTCCATTTAAAGGACCAGTATTTTTTCCATGTAATTAAAAATGAATGCAATGAATATGCTCATTAACTGTGTTCAAAATCCATTACTGCCATGTACCACAGTTTTAAATCTTTGTTGAACTTATGATACTAATTACTTTATCAGCATCTTTTTTCACCTCCAAACACTAATTTCTTTAACTGATTCACCAGTGTTTTTACTTTATGATCAAGTATGCAACCTACTACGAAGGCCATGTGTACATTAATTGTACTAAGACTTTTTTAAGGATAACCATTTTTTTTAGTTAAGAATGTGAAGTAATTGTCTACTTTTCTAATTTGTAAAGAGTAAGTTAATCATTAATATTCATTGACTTAGGCTTAAGATGTCTGGGGGGGTCAGGCATAGCACAGGTGTTTGTGCTTCTATATAACTTGCAGAGTCCTTTCTATTGCACCCTTTGGTCTCCTGGTACCCCTGAAGTAAAAGAGAAACTCAAATTCCACAGTTCAAAATCTAGACCCTTAAAATAAATGCTAATTAATTACATTAGTTGAGAAGTAAAATAGAGGGAAACAAATATTCTGAAAAACCCAAATAAAATTCAGCTTTCTGACATACATGACAGATCCAAATAATTCTGGTTTTTGGGGTGTTTCTTCTATATTCAGTCCTTCTCTCCTTGATCTTTGTATGCGGTATTTGTAAACAAGCTGTCATTTGTAATCAAAATAATTTCTGATTTATCTGTGTGTTATCAGTGTTACCTTGATCGAGAGGTTTCTCCACCCTTCCCCCACCCTAATACCATTCTGATCAACAGAAATCATTTGTTTCCACAGGATCAATCTGGAAACACTCTAATCATTATATAGCACTCACTAGTACTGCACTGCAGTGCGCACAATTACCAATATCACTGTTTTAAGGGATTTACTAAAACCTACTTTATAAGGCAATTGAACGTAACTGTCTCACGGCAACATGGTGCAGTACATACGGCACGGTTTATAATGATTACTCCCTTTCTGCAATGTCACCCTCAGGATCTATAGACGATTTCTACTATTTTATGGTCAACAGTCTCATGCTGTAGACAAATACCTCTGTTTTCAAAGGCAAATATATGAGATACGAATATTGGTTCCATACTGCTGAACACAGATGTAGGTGGAGCTCCCTGCACAATATAGGTGTTTCACCATCAGCAAGGGGAATCTTTAGAAATTCTGTCTACATCAACAGAAGAAAGTCCCTCACGTGTCTCCTGGACATAACGACATTTTTAGCCAGTAGCTTTATTCCTGTCAGTTATCAAGGCTGAATGTGCTGCAAGAGTCTGCCAAAAGACTCTTCTGTGCAACTAAAATTCCTCACATTGCAGATCTGGACTGAAGTCTGAACTTGCTGTGAAAAGTAATAAAACTTTCAGATGCTTTAGTATTTACAAGATTGAATCACAGAATCACAGAATGGTAGGGGTTGGAAGGGACCTCTGTGGGTCATCTAGTACAACCCTCCTGCCGAAGCAGGGTCAACTACAGCAGGCTGCACAGGACCTTGTCCGGGAGGGTCTTGAATATCTCCAGAGAAGGAGACTCCACA